CCATCTCAAAATTCTTTATCAATCTCCAAACACCCTTTAACCATATATGGTAATATTCACAGACTCCAGGGATCTGGATGCGGACAACCTGGAAGGGCCATCACTCAGCCTACACAGTGTCTTTCCCACCAGGATGTGAGTGATGAGGGTCGTGTCAGCTGGTTGAGCTTGTAGTCCAGGGTCCGGCACCCTCCAGATACATTGCTCAGTGAAGGAACAAGGAAACGAAAGGAAGAATGAATGAGCAAAATAGAGTTCTTCTCTCAGCCCCTTTAGGCTTCTTTTTTTAACTCTTATTTATTTGTTTGTTTGTTCTATTCCCTTCCCCTCTCTTCCCAGCTGCTCCTTCTTCCTCGCACGAGCACCTGGGAGTCCAGCGCATTGATTTATCCTCATTTGTCGTAAGCCTGTCTCCTGCCTCAGCTCTTTCGTTTCAGTGACATAAACGTCCAGGTTTCCTTCTGCTCCCATCCCTCCCCAGATCTGTGAAAGACTTTAAAATGGGCAAAAAGGTTGCTGCACGTTCCATCTGAAGTCCTCTTCCCAGCTCCCTCTGCCCTTTGCTCTGGTGGACCTAATTATTTGACGGCTCTGTAAGTTGTGGAATTCCCATGGAAAGACACACCATTCTTGTCCACAGACATGCAAATGAGCTCTGAGCAGTGCCTCCTGCTGATTCTGCACCTATTTGTAAATTCATCTCGGCACTCCTACCTGCCCATCTACGTGCCGTATTTCTAATTCTCCTTTGGACTGCTTGTAACATCTTACTGGTTCCCTCATTAACTAATGAAGTAAATAAAGCCTTTGATGAGTGCTCGTTTCACATTTGTATAAGTCATGATTTTTCCTTATTTTAAAAAAATAATAATCCTTTTGCAATCTCAGGAGAGAGCCAGCTGTATCAACAAACACAAGAGCTGTGCATCCTCTCGAGGATCCACAACGGATGGGTGGACCAACGGCACCCGCACTTCCTTCGCTTCCATCGCCTTTGCTGTATAGAGCAGCTGGGTGAGACACGTTTCAGAAGGAGCAGTGCAGAATCACACCCAACCCGGGGGGAGACGGGGAAGCGCATGTCTGCAAGGCTCCCCACAAGAGGTTGGGGTCCCTGCTCGCCCTCACCTTTCAATGCAGAGGGCAGCCTCTCCTCTCCCTGGCACACTCATCTAGGGATGACGCTGAGAGACTTTGCCTTCTCCGGAGCCACCCCCAGCTCTCCTCCCCGAGCCCCTTGCTCTTCAGCACGGACAGTTGGCAACGTCTCAATCTCATGCAAAGTCTATACCAGCACAGCTTCCAGACCTGCCCTCCCTCCACCAACCATCAAATGGAGAATTCTGGAGCTGTCACTGCTTCCCTTAATCCATGAGGATCTGCCAGTGGCTGTTGGAGAGAAAGGGAAAGTCTGCTTCTGGGCAGGAAAAGGGGTCTTACATCGGGTCAGGTGACTGGATGGAGAAGCCAGTTTTCTGCCAAGCAGAGCAAAGACAGGGGAATGAGCAGCCTAAGGGGTGGGGCCTTGTCCCAGCATCCTGGGAGTGGCAGCACGCCAACAGCTGTTTCAGACTGCAGATGTTAGTCCTGGGGCATCAATTAGAAGGAGCCACAGGAGCGAGCTGGCTGCTGCACGCAGAACTCCCCTGCAATTCTCACTGCTGATAGCTCTGAGCTGGGTTTGTGGTTCGTTCACCACACATGCTTCAGATCTCGGGCCCTAGTGACCTTGTCCATCAGTGTGGGATGGGTAGCGATAGGGCTGGATGACCCTCCACAGTGCTTCCAGCCCTGAAATTCTTCAAGTCGGAAGAACAAAGCACTAACTTCTATTCCCTATGAGGGAGTCACCCCGAATGAGCCAAAAGTGTTGGTCTTGCCTGTGGAGTTCATGTGCCTGAACGAGCTTATTTGACAAATAACCCCCTCACCAGCTCGTAAATTCTGTGCAAGCAGGACAGGGCCAGCTACTCACTCAGTCCTTCACTGAGGCTGGTGCACACACGGCGCAGCAACACCTGGCAGACGGCTTCCATCCACTGAGCTCACTGCCTAGGTGAGGAAGCGAACATTGACCCATGCGTGGCACAAAGGCATTTTCAGTGCCATTGTGGTCACGGCTCTGAGGAGAGGGTTGTCCTGAGGGAATGTAGAGTGGGTGTGCACCCAGTCGGGGGCACGGAAGGGCTTCCTTGTGGAGGAGGAAATGGGCTCAGGAAAGAATCCAGGCTTCCCCCTCAAAGGATGATCTGTCTACAGGAATTTTGTCAATGCCTTTTACCATTTTGAGGAAGTTCTCTACTATTCCTAGTTTGCTGAGAGTTTTTATCATGAATGGGTGTCAACTTTTGTTAAATGCTTTTCTCATCTATTGAAACGATCTCATCATTTTAATCCTTCATTCCATTGATATCGTGGGTTACCTTGGTTCTGTTTCTAATGTTTAACCAAACTTGCATTCCTGGGATAAACCACCTTGGTCATAGTACATCTCCTTTCTTTAATATTGTGGAAACAGGAGGCTGGGGCGCAAGGTTAATTTAATTCTGCCCGTCGCTCTCAACGCACCCTTTTAAAAAGTCATCTAAAGCTGGCTGAAATCAGCATACATTAGAGGGACCATGGTCAGTGCTGAGACACAGATATATTTATAAATGCCCTGCCTTGGTGTGGCCAGCGGGCTGTGTGGTGAGACAGCTGTATGAATGACCTAGGTCTTGAGTGACAGCTGGGAAAAGCACTTTTAGGGAGGGTGGGAGTGGCAGGAGCAAAAGACACAGAGCAAGTCTGGGAAACAGCTAGCAATCCACATGGCCAGGTAGAGGGCCATCCACGGATTATCTCAAATGCCCACACCCAGAGGTGGGGCCTCAGCCTCCCGGTCAGCAGGGAGCCACGGACATGGGAGAGTGCCCATATGCAAAGGAGAGTGAATAAAGCATGGTGTACAAGCGTCTGTGCAGAAGGACTCCAATTTATTAAACCGTGTGTGAGATGAGAGAAGGACGGTGTATTAGTCTACTCAGCTGCTGTAACGAAACACCACGGGCTGGGCAGCTTAAACAACAGACATTTCTTTCTCCCAGTTCAACAGGAGGGAAGTCCAAGATCAAGGTGTCAGCAGGTCTGGTTTCCTCCGAAACTTCTCTCTTTAGCTTGTAGCTGGCCATCTTCTCCCTGTGTCCTCATGTGGTCATCCCTTCGGGCACGTACCCCTCGTGTCTCTTTGTGTGTTTCTCGTAAGGACACCAGACAGATTGTAAGGCCCACCCTCCCAGTCTCCTTTTAACTTAATCCCCTCCTTAAAAACCTACCATCTGAGATACTGGGGGTTAGGATTTCAACATACGAATTTTCGAGGGACACAATTCAGTCCCTAAAAGATGTTAGTAGTATTTTTCTGATTGAAGAGATTATAATTTCACATTTTTCTTCACACACTTCTATTTTTCTTATCCAACTTTTTTCCTAGTGAACATGTATTACCATAAAATTAATTTTAAAAGGAAAAATAGGGCACCACGAAAGTTCTTGTGCATAAAGCACATGCTACATAGAGAGTGCAGGCCAGAGCACAAGGGGGCTTGCCACCGGCCACCCCTCCCAAGTCAACTCCTGGCGTGACCATTCCCAACAACCAAGGAGGCGAGAAGTAAGACGAAGATGGTAGATGCCCCCTCCCCGGGGAATGAGCAAGACCTGTGCAGAATCTGAAGGCGATCAGGTGAAATCCATTGCCCCTGTCCCTGGGGCTTTGAGGAATGGGGGCTCGCTGGTCATCATTCGTCTTTGCATTCAGAGATCCTGCTGTTCTTCCCCCCCCCCCCCCCGCCCCCGGTCTGCACAGTCAGCCAGACTTGAGCCCCAGTGCTCCGTGGGGCTCATTGTCTATCCCGATGTGTCTAATATCTAACAAAGTTGCGTTCACTTCTGGTTAAGGATGAGATCCCCTCCCCTCCATTTCTACTGTAAAAATATTTTGACTAGAAAAAGAAAACCTCCCATGATCTCACCATCTCAGGCAAGCTTCTTTTTTTTTGTTTTTTCCTTTTTTCTCTCTGGGTTTTTGTTTTTGTTTCCAATTTCCGTATAGCCTCTGTGCACGGCCCGTGTACTCAGGGATTTAAGCAACACATCAGGAAGACAGAAGAGATGACTTCGAGGACTTCCTTTTTTCATAGAAAATGATTTTGTAGCCCTCTCTGCCTCCAGAGCACACACCTACACACCCTGGGTATTTTGTTGGGTTAACCAAAGACCAAAACAGCACCAGCCTTGTCCTTAACTCAGAAAGGACCTCCAGATGGAAGGAAAAAGGCTCTGAGGGGGGCGGGGGAGCGGAGGACAGGGGGTATAAGCCACCAGAACCCTTATTGAGAGCAATTTGGCAACAGATATTGTATTTAAAGACTGATATTTTTTGTATCCTATGACCCAGGATTTCAGTTTTGAGATACGCCTCATAGGAAACAGGGATGTAGAAAAGAGTTACCATCCCAAATGTTTTCACAGCCCTGTTTACGACAGAAAAAAATTGGAAGCAATCTTGATATCTAACTGTAAAAAGAATGGTTAAATACACATGCCACACCATGCAAAAAGGCACAGATGTGCGGGCTCCTCCGGGCAGGAAGGGCTCCTCAGCACCCCTCCCCCTGCCCACAGGAAGAGCCACGGGACCCATGGGGAGGCCCAGGCCCAGGTGCATCCCAGGCCAGCAGCACTGAGAGTGAGGAATAGGGGACCGAGGGTGGCTTTGCAGTCAGATCAGCACGGGTTCAAATCCTGCTCGGTCTTGCCTTAGCCGGGTGGCCTTGGCAGCTCTTCCACCTCAACCCTTGGAAAGTGGGTTGAAATCCCGAGCCTGCAGCACTCTCAAAGGAATTACACCGGGCAGCACACGTGGGAGCTGGCATTTGCCCTGGGTCACCCAGCAAGCATGTCACAGGGCCAGGGTTTAAAATTAGGTCCACCCACTTCCAGGATCATGACCTTTTCTGTTCCTTATGCCATGCTGCCTCTTTGAGATATCATCCCAAAGCCCTGGGGAAGCAGCGGCGGCAGGAGCCACAGACAGACTGCCAAGAAGTGGGGCTCCAGCTGGGGGTCCGAACAGGGTTTTTGTCCCCGGGACTCAGTTGATTGAAGAGGTCATGGAAACCAGCATCTTTCACCGGGAGCCCCCAAGTCCTGGAACTGGGGTGCTGGAGGGGGATCCAAAGAAAACAGTCGTGGGTTTGGAAGCTGACGGTGTGCCCCATCACGCCCTGCAGTCGGGGGGCCAAGGGCTGCACTCGCGGGCCGGGAGGGGCATCTGGTTTCACTCGGCCACAATCAGTGCTTTTACAATTGACAAGGGAGGCAGGAGGGGACTTTTCAGCCTGTTGCAGATAGAAAGTGCACTGGGACAATGACATGGAAGAGATTTTTTGCCCTCCCTTCAGGAGAGGCTCATCGGAGGACACCGGCCCCGGTGGACGGCGAGCTGAGTGTCAGCGGCTCCGTGTCCTGCGGAGGCCCCCAGGCAGGTGGTCTGGGAGAAGGCCCTGGCGTCCCCTCCGTGTTCCCCTTCACCCTGAAAAAAAGATATGTCCAGAGACTGTCACTCTGTGACACTCTTTGTCACATTTGTGTCCTTCTTTTGGCAGCCTTTCCGGGGTTCCCTTACACATTCCACTGGATATGGGGTGTCTCGCCAGAGGACACCTGGGTGGTGATAATCTATTTAGAAGCAGGAAGGCAGCTCAGGAACAAAAGGAACGTCATTCTCACATGTGAAGAGATGTCCTGGGCCCATGATGGCAGCCAAATCAAGCCATAAACAGAGCTCTTCCTCCAGGCCAGGCCCGCAGCGATGAAACTGACAGGCCTGTTTCCTTCCTTCCCTCTTTCTCTCCCTCCTTTCCTCCTTCCTTCTCTTCTTCCTCTTCAAAGAAACTAAATGGAAACAAAGCTGAGGATCCTGCAGGCGCACTGGGCACCAGAGCAGAACGGCCCAGAGACCCGTGCAGGGACACAGATCCACCCCAACGTGACTTGACCCAGGTACCATCACCCTCCCTGGGATGAGAAAGAGAAAGAAAGGGATGGAGGGAACATTTATTGAGCACCTACTGAGTACCAAGTGTGCTCACAGGCCTGTGAGGTGGGTACGGTGCTTCCCGTCTGCAGAGCTGAGGCTGAGAACGGGAGTCAGGAGAGGTCCTGGCAGAGACAGGACCGGAACCGGCAAGGTCTGTCTCCAGAGCTCGCGCCTCCGCCCTCCAGCAGCAATGAGCTGCACAAACGAATGCCCCATTCTGAAAACTAGTGGCTTTTGCCAAAAGCCCATAATAAAAAGACCGCCCCACATGTTCATACAAGGAATACTAAACAAAAAGGAGAATGAATGATATCCACTACACAAAATTAGAATGGAGCCTGTGACACTGTGGGGCAGCCTCTTGCCAGCTCATGAGAGCTGATTGTGAAATATTCTGGAATTTTGCAAGCTGGTTGTTAAATCATTGGTGGCTTGAAATCAGTCAAGGTGGAAGTATTTACATCACTGAAATTGGCAAATACTACAAATAGGGCCTTTCTTTTTTTTCTTCTTTTTCTCTCTCTTTTTTTTTCTTTTTGGAGAGCCAATTTATCAGCACACCACTGGATGGATCTTACAGATGTTGAGCAGAAGTAACTAGACATAAAAGGGAACACACTGCTTGATCCCATTTATAAGGAGTTCAAGAACGGGCAAAGCGCATCCATGGTGATGGAAGTCAGAGCAGTGGTCCGTCTGAGGTATGATGGAGGCACCGGGGGAACTGGTCACGTTCCGTGTCTTGATGTTGCTGGTGGGGATAGCAGCATATTCAGGGTGTGGAAGTTCATCCAGCCTCACACTCGGGATAGAGTGTTTTTCACAGACGCAACCTCATAACATTCTCACACATCTTGGTGGGGAGGCAGGAACGGAGGAAGGCAAAGAGATCGCTGAGTGAACCTTTAAGAGAGGTCAAATGAGGTTCCACAAGCAAGACCCCCCAAGACTCAGGCTCAGGAGCCAAAGGTTCCAGCTCTGCAAGCTTGGGCCAACTCTCTAGTCGCTCTGGGCCTCAGTTTCCCCATCTGTTAAGTGGAAATAATCATAAAATCTACTTATTGGGTTGTTAAGGAAATGAAATATGCATCACATTGCCTCAAACACTGCAAATATCCAGTACATTGGTTATTGCTTATTTTTATTTTTCCTATTAGTCGGTCCCAGTGGTGAGTAGGAGAGAAGGGAAAGAGAAGAGGAAGAATTAATATCTGAGAAAGTAGTCAGTGAAGGAAAGCACACCATTTCCTGCAAAGCGTGTGTTTTTGCTTCTGACCTCTCACTACGGCTGAGTAAACTCCCTCCCAACTCCGAAAATATTGAATCTGCAATGGGTTAGAATGGTCCTGGGTCAAAATAACCCCAACTCGGACAAAGTTTGATTCTGGGGAAGGCCTGGGATCGTGGTCTAATCTGGATTCACGTGGAGGAATTCACCCAGGTAAACACATAGCAGGTTCCCAGTGTAGCCCTAAAGGAATCATGCCAACCCTCGAAGGGCTGAAAATTCTGGTGAAGGCTTTAAAGATGAAAATACATGGGGAAAACATAAATGATGAAAATGGTAACATGTCCATTTCCCTCAGAGTGGATAGTGATAGGCTAGTGTGTTTCAGGCTTTGACCTCAACCTGATTTTCACCTGGTCTATCGGTAAATATTCACCAATAATCCACTTTGTTCTACATGAGGCTCTACTCGGGGTTCAGAGAGAATCATAGATTCTCAGGACTAAAAGGGACCTAGGAGATCCTCCAGTCCAATTCGGCACTGAACGCCTAAACTTTCAAACAACTTCACCAGCCCGGTGGGTGGCCAGCCAACGTCTCCAGTATTTGCACACTTCCAGTAACAGGGAACCCATGACGTTGTGAGGCAGCCCGTGGCATCTGGGTACAGCTCTGTGAAACATCACTGTGCCAAGGAGAAATCAGCCCGACTGTGGCTCCCCACTGAGCCCGGCTCTGCGCCTCAGGGCCACCCGACAACAGCAGAAAGATGCCTCTTCCACTGAGCATTTCCCTTCACGTGTGCAGACTTCTTCCATCCTGCCCCACTCGCCTCTTTTCTTGGCTCAGTAGTGCCTTTGGAGGGTATCACCTCCATTTCTTCTACGTATAACAAGGTTTCCCTTTTTTTCCATCCTCCTAGTCTTGCTTCCATATTTTTAACTACTGCAAAGCTGTAACCCAAAACCTAAAGAGCATTATTTCCTCAAAACTATTTTTTTCTTCAAAAAAAACTCAAAAAAGAATTATTACTAAATCCACGGCATCCAGATCTTTTATATTCTCTCCCTGCCTCCATATGCCCAGCCATGTCACCTGACGTTCTCCACACCCACTTTCTCCTCCAGTGGTCAGAGGCTCTCCTCCACGACTCTTGCACATTCTGCTGCCACCACCTCATCGTTACCCCCAGAAGCTCAGCTCAGACGTCGCTTCTCACCTCCCCATTAAACCTTCCTAACATCTGTGCCCCATCCTCCTCCTCAGCCAGTTAGCTTCTCCCTTCATGGTGCCTCCCGGACTTTTTCTTCCCTCTATTGTAATACCTATCCCACTTCGCTGAAAGCATTTCTTTGCATATCTCTCTCTCACCAGACAATGAATTCTTGGATCAGGGACCACTTCTTCTTTTCCGTCTTCCAGCACCTACCATCCTTCTCACACCTGGCAAACCTATCGTTTTTACTGAATGATCTTTTTTCCCTCTGATAATCCATGTCTGCCAAGTATGTTTTGCCCTGAATTAGCTGGTGGTGTTCCTTTAAGAAATGTCAACAGTAGATTTCCTGATATAAATCACAGTTTGCATGGCTATAGGAACTTTGTTAAGCAACATGTCCAGATGCTAATCTTACTTAAGCCTAGTAGAGTGGAGCATTTCTTAACATGGATTTCAAAGAAGAAAGCTACAGTGAGGGTTCAGATTACGAGATTTGCTCACAGAAGCCAGTCACAGTTGTAAAAATCAGTATAATTGATACGTGGCGTATAGAACACAGCCCCTTCAGTGTTACTTTTATTGTATTTGGATCTTAATTTACAAAATTAATAACCCACCAAGCTTGAAACTGTCACAAGTTAATTTAAATGAGCAAGTTTCTTGTAATTAAAAACGTGATGCCAGGGCCCGGCCCGGTGGCTCAGCGGTTAAGTTTGCACGGTCCGCTTCAGCGGCCCTGGGTTCACTGGTTCGGATCCCAGGTGTGGACATGGCACCGCTTGGCAAGCCACGCTGTGGTAGGTGTCCCACATATAAAGTAGAGGAAGATGGGCATGGATGTTAGCTCAGCACCAGTCTTCCTCAGTGAAAAGAGGAGGATTGGCAGCAGTTAGCTCAGGGCTAATCTTCCTAAAAAAGAAAAAAATGTGATGCAAGAATTTTAATTTATGGGAAGGTGAGGTCCATGTACTTTTTCCCTGTTCCTCCTGCTAAATCCAACTAAAAACCCAGGGCTTTGAGTATAATGTTTACAGACTTTGAAAGGTGGAGAGAAGAAGGCAGATAAGCTAGGGACTTCAGAACCCAAGTAACAAAATAATGCTGAGTTCTCTGACTTAACTTTTGGCCACATACATCCCAGACTTGGAGCTGAAGAAACTAGCAAACTGGAAGATCCAGTGGGCACAGGCAAAAATAGCCCCAACAAAATCCTGCTCTGTCTAGCCAGACTAGGAAAAGGACAGACTAGCAAGACCAAAACTTTTAGACAACAACCATCCAATCAAATACCATACAAAAACTATGGCCCTACCCCTACCCACGCCAGCAAAGCCAAGTGGAGAGCCTAGATTTCTATCATCACCAGGCTGTAAGGAGGTACTCTAACCCTCTGTCAGATGGTGTCAGAGAAGGAGCACCCCCTGAGAAGGGGGAAACAGATCACACATTCTTTACAATCACCTATAGACATATACCAAGCCAAGCCATATCCTGAGCCATAAAACCAACTTCAACAAATCTGAAAGAATTGAAATCATACAGTGTGTTCTCCAGCCACAATGGAATCAAACTAGAAACCAATAAGGAAAATCTCAAAACACTCAATACAGCATATAAAAAGTTGTGAGTTGTAGCTAAAGCAGTGCAAAGGGGGGAATTTATAGTACTAAATGCACACACTAGGAGGAAGAAAAGTCTCAAACCAATCTAAGCTTTCACCTCAAAAACCTAGGAAAATATACTCAAAGCAGGCAGAAAGAAAAAAATAGTAAATATAAAAGCAGAAATCAATGAAGTTAAAACAGAAAAACAATAGATAAAATGAATGAAACAGACAGCTGATTCCTTACAAGAAATAAGGAAATAAATATAGCAGACAAATCTCTAGCATTTCTGACTAAGAAAAAAGAGAGAAAATACAAATTACCAATATTAGGAACAAAAGAAGGATCATCAACACAGACTGTGCTGGCACCAAAAGGCTAATACGGTTAAAACCACAAACAACCCTAGACACATAAATCTGGACTCAGATAAAATGGACCAACTCATCAAAAATCACAAACTACTACAAACTACAAAAATGAAATAGACAATTTGAATAGGCCTACAACTATTAAGGAGATTGGATTCATAATTTAAAATCTCCTAAAATAGAAATCCTCAAGCCCAGATGGTTTTACTGTAGAGGAAACTTCTTTGTAGAAGTTTTAATAACAGTTTGATGTAATCTCTGCCAGAAAATAGGAGAGAACACTTCCCAATTCATTTTATGAAGCTAGTATTACCCTGATACCCAAACCAGGAAAGGACGGTATTAAAAAATATATATATATATCGTTCATGAATATAGATGTAAAATTCCCTTACAAATATTTGAAAATAGAATTAAGCAATATGTAAGAGTTATACACCATGACCAAGTGGGGTTTATTCCAGGGATTCAAGGCTTTTTCAATATTTGAAAATTAATTAATGTAATTTACTGTATCAACAGTGAAAAATCACATGATTATATCAATATGTGCATGAAAAGATCTTGACAAACTGAACACCCATTCCTGATGAAAACTCATAAAAATAGAAATAGAGGGGGCATTCTTCAATTTAACAAAGAGCATCTACAAAAAACCTACAGCTAACATCTACCAAAAAAAAGGGAAAAAAACCCTACACCTTCAGCTAACACTATACTCAAAGGTGAAAGTCCCAACTGCTTTCAGATGCCAAGACCAGGAACAAGACAAGGATGTCTGCTCCCACCACTCTTTATTCAACATGGTACTGGAAGTTTTAGCCAGGGCAATAATGCAAGGAAAGGAAATGAAAGGTACACAGATCAGTAAGCAAGAAATAAAACTGTCCTTATTTAAGATGACATGATTGTCTATGTAGAAAAATCCAAAACATCTTTTATTTGTTTTCTGTTTTGTTCCCTGTATTTCTCATTCCTCTGTTAGTTTTCTCTTGCCATCCTGTGGGTTACTTAAACATTTTTTGGAACTTCACTTTTACTTAATTATAATGTTTTTGAGACTATTTCTTGCTATAGTTTTCTTGGAAGTTTCTCTAGGTATTATCGTACATGTATATAATTTATCATTGCCTACTTGTGTTGATGTTTTACCACTTCCAGTGAAGTATAGAAAGCTTACACTCATTTAGGTCACTTTATCATCTCCACTTATTAAATATACTCATCTTAAAAGTATTTCCTCTGCACACACTGGATACCATATCAAATGGTGTGGTAAATTTTGATTCAACAATAAAACCATAAAATGTGATTAAAGAAACTCATGAGATGAAGGATAGTCTATTATGTTTATTTCTATTTTGACGCTTTCCAATGTTCTTTTTTTTTCTGATAGTTCCAGTCTTTTTCTATTACCATCTTCTTTCACTTTGGAGAGCTTTCTTAGGCATTCTTTAAGAGTAGGTGTGCTAACAGCAAATTATCCTAGTATTCATTCATCAGAGAATTTTTTAATTTCTCCTTCAACTCTGAAGGATATTTCCCTGGATATATGATGTGGGGCTAACAGCTCTTTTCTTTTAACACTTGAAAAATGTTGTACCAC